GTAAACGATCCCATTTTTAGAATTTCGGAAATAAAAAAAAAATAGGGAAACCGAAAGATTTGGTTTTCCCCGGGAGGAAACCCAGGGGGTTTTTCACGGGAAGTATTTTGATACGGGGTTTGAAATAAAATCATGTATTTGTTCAACGTCAGGAAAAACCCTTTTTGCATTTTTTGTGTTTTTCCAAATTAACATTGTTTTTTAGTGATTAAATTCCCCTCCAGTGGGGCTATAGCGGGGGCCCATCCCCATGTTTTTAAAAAAGGGAAATTTAATATTATCTTCGTCTAAAAAAAACCCTTTTTTTCAAAAAACAATGTATTTTACAAAAATACTAAAATTTTCCCTAAAAAAAACAACCTTAATCAAATTAAAGATATAGTTACATGTACCAGATAAGATACAAATACAAAACATTGTTTGTTTTTATTTAATATTTAAAGCCGCATGCAAACAGATTTCACGAAATATTTAAGGCGGCATGTCTACAGATTCGTGTTAAATTTCATTAAAATTTTGAATATGTATATACGTAAAATATTGTGAAGTGAACAAAAAGGTAATATACACATTGCAAACGGCACTTACAATCCGCGTAAATTACGAAAATGAGGTCAAAATATGCAGAAATAGCCCTTACTGCTTTCGTCACGCACTAGAAATATTGTGATAAATACTGCCAAAATCAGTCAATCAATCTTAAGTTTGAGTATTTGAAATATTTTGGTTCATCTGGTGGCATGCAGCTTTAATTAAATTAAAGAATATTATTACAGTTTATATGCACACATCAACAAAATATGGATGCAACCTATAGAAATGACTAGAAGCTGTAACCTGTGCAACCTATTCGAACCAATTATGACTATACATGTAATAATTATGTCGTTTACAATTCCGGTACCTGTAGTAACTGAATAATAATAAATCATGTATACTGCAAAATTATTTTAAATTCGTGGAGATTAATTTTCAAGATAAATGTGGATATGTTCATCCACTAATTTAAGATCCAACGAAATTTTCCTACATCTACTATTAGATTATTTTTGAAATACGTTATATGAATTTCACTTATTAAATTTGAAAAAAAAATCACAAAATCCATGAATTTAAAGTGAGACACACGCAAAATTGTCATTTCTTAGTTTTGAATTTTTTATTCATTATTCTGTAAACTGTCCTCAAAATTAAGATAACAGACTATCATAGGAACAAAACGTTTCTCCTTATAAAGAATAAAATGGTGGTTTCCTAACTTGACCCACGTGGGATAGGTTAGAGCGTTTATAAGATTTCACAATAATTGCCACAGACGTTAAAGTGCACTTGCACTTGTTTCAATCATACAATATGCACAATATATGTTATATCAATTACCTATTGTAACTTCCAGGGTTTTTAAAAGTAACATGACTTGTTTTAAAACCACTTGACGATTCTGTCGGTGTCTAAATTTCGTTCAACATATAAAGATTAATTCACGCTTCAAACCCAAAATATATAGATATTATGCAGAAATCCATGCTGAGACTGTAAGAAGTGTAATTGTAGTGTGATTTAAGTACATAAAATAATTTTAATATTTTTGACACTAATTTGCCTAAGTATCCCTTTTAGAACAAACACAATTTTCTCTTTTGGACAAAACAATGAAATTTCATGCCTACGAAATTAAGTGAATTCACAGTACACATATTGTTACATTGCATATTTACAATTTGAGCGTACAGTTAATATTTTCACGGACAAACTAGGTCACCAATGTGGTTACTTTTAGGAGTTTGACTGTATCTAACGTCCTTGCCCACCAGAGTTTCTGTCAAAAACGTCTCGATGCCAACTGCAGATTCTTGATTCATTGTACAATCATAAATTCCTTTTTCAGACAGAAAAGCGATATCAAAGATTCCGCCAAGGTCCTTGAAAACGGGTCCCGTCAACACTAGTTCACTGGACTGATTTGGCAGGGCATGAATGTCTTTGTGGTGGAAAATAAGCACAGACACGTTTGATGACACTGAAAACACGACATAAATAATTGGATTTGGAGTAAAAAAAACATAAAGGGAAAATCAGCATGTTTTTTCTACTTTCTTTCTTTCCTACTTTCTTTTTTTTTCTTTCTTTTTTCTTATTTTCTTTCTTTCTGACAATGTATGAACATTAAAAGTTTTATCCCAATTTGAACATTAAAAGTTAAATCACAATTGTCTGAAAAAAAATATACAAAATTATCTCTTTTCAGTTAGAAATCGGGTGAATTTTATGTAATAATTGAATAACCACTGAATTTAAGTAAGATATCTGGATCAAAACCGTAAGTTACTGGAACTAAAATACAAAAAAGCTAGAACTACAGACAAAATAAAGCTAGAACTACAGATAAAATTAAGCTAAAACTATTTGTAAAAAAAAAGCTAAAACTAAGAACAAAATAAAGGTAGGACTACAAGACAAAATAAAGCTAGAACTATCGACAAAATAAAGCTAAAACTACACAAAAAAGCTAAAACTACAGACAACATAAAAAATGAACTACAACGCAAAATAACTAGAACTTAAGACAAAATGAAAAAGAACCAACTTGAATATGCGTTTTGCACATTGTGCGAAACAGCAAAGGTTTTGAATGTTATCATATAAGAAAAAAACAAGCAGTCATGTACCATTTAAATCCTGCAGGATAGAACTAACATCTGCCCCGAGTCTGCTCGCATTTATACAAAGTACAAACAAGGGTATTTCTGGATTAACGTCGTCTTTGTTTTGACAAACAATCAATTGTAATATTCGTCTTTCCACATTTAGTTGCTTCACCAACATTTTCCGCAGTTCATCTATAATGTTTGACACCATTTCACCCTTCACTTGGTAATAGACCTGAATTGAAACTAAACAAAAACTATTACATTAAAATTTCACATTTTCCTATTAAATTTTAAGTTCACAAAACACAAATGCTATACAAAATAAGCTTATAATTTACAAACTTTCTGGTGTAGAAGTAGCCGCAAAAATCCCTGCCCTGGTAGGGAGAATTTTGTAGGCGTGTTTATCAGATAAATCATGCAAAGGACGCTGTACCTGTGCTAAATTTAGCTGATGTAAACAAACACTATAGCAGACGATTACTGATCAGCAGCACAGGCACGAGTATCGGACCTGGGAAGAAAAAATATGACCAGATTGATAAAAAAAACCTGTGTTCATCTTAAAAGTGTCAAAAAAAAAATGTAAATAATGACCCCCTTTAAAAATATACTCTTAACTTATAGCCCGTTCGTTCCTGACATAAAGAACAACACAAAATGTCATTCAACATGGTGTTGTGTATAATTAATATACATGCATATATATCAATCTGGGTCAAATAACATAGTAATTATTTTCTTGTGATTATGTATCTATTAATATTTAAAGTAACTATAATGATATTTGTAGATGCGTAATAGTTTTTGTTTAGTTTCAATTCAGGTCTATTACCAAGTGAAGGGTGAAATGGTGTCAAACATTATAGATGAACTGCGGAAAATGTTGGTGAAGCAACTAAATGTGGAAAGACGAAATATATAAAAGTAACGAGATAAAAGCTTCAACGTAATTACAAATATTAAACAAAACTGAGCACACAAAAAAAAACGTGTAATAGTCAATGATATCTTTTTAAGCGCTTTTTTTAAATGAAAGGCATTTGAAAAATCCTTACCATAAATTCGAGCCAACTCATTTATATCAAGACATAGCAGTTTAACATGAGCACGCTGCGTTTTCACAGTGGTTTTAATAACATTTATTTGCTCTCCGTGTCTTTTCAAGCAACACTAAAATTGAAAAAGGCACAACATTTTCAAATATAAAGATCAAATAACATACACAAATAGAATGGATTTTAATTTCAAGTACTGTAAGTTTGTCTCCATTCTATTCTCCATTCTATTTGTGTGCTTAGATCTTATCATTAAATGGGAATGGGAATTCCCTACAAGTTAATTATAGGATACGAATTGTGGAGTCCGGAGATCAGTGATCTCACGACCCTAAGTACCGCGGTAAAAGTGATATAGTTCATAGTCTATACAGTACATGTACACAAATACTCAAGATTGGAAATCACGCTAGAATAAACAACTGGCGACAGTTGATTACTACCGATCTATAACTATAAATATCTCTATCACTCTACTCAACAACAGCGTTAAACTAATTATTGTAAAAATAAGTTGTGGGGGTGCTAGTGTGTGGTACATGTAGTTACTGACTTGTCTACGCGCTGGACAATTGATCTATTATACAAAGTCAATGAGCAAAGACAAGAAAATTCTTACGTTTATCATACGAGCAGGTCCTTCAATATTATTTTGTCTTGACTGGCTGATTCCCATATTCCTTTCGAGTCTAACTATCCATTTATCACAGCTTTTGGTTAAAAAAGTGTCATTTAAGTATTTACCATAACAATGTCGTACTTTCGGTTTCAAAATGAGGCCGTCAAACTATATGCTACCGTTCAGTGCCGTAGCCACACTGAGGCGACCCGAGGCAGTTGTCTCGGTTAATATTTAAAAAGTTAAGAAATACATCAGGTAGAAAAAAAGGTCTTGAAAATGAAAAAGATGACGAAAAAAGAACCTCCAATATAAGATCTGGAATGAAACAAATAAGGCTTTCTGTTCCAAAGTAGAGACGGTAATTACGAGTCAATACAAGATGGAAAAATATATCAAAATGTTAAAAATCCAATGTCGTTTTGAAATATGTGATAAAGCATATGATCCAAACATTCACACATATTTGGATGACTTCTCCGCCGTTTGTCTGTCCGTCTGTCACAAAACTTGTCCGGACTACACCTCATAAACTACTGGTGCAATTTCATCCAAACTTTACAGGAATGATCAGTACCAAGTCTAGTTGTGCATATCGGCAGCATTTTCCGATTCAATGATTTTTGTCCCTTAAATAATTTTTATTTTTAAAGTCTGTCCGGACTTCTTCTCTTATATCATTAATGCAATTTCAATGACACTTTACAGGATTGATTGGTAGGTGATGATTTTTGGCCGAGTTATGGTCCTTTAACAAAAAAGGTGTTTTTTTTCTGTGTGTTGCCAGATACACAAAAGCTTGCCCGGACTACTATTCAAAAACTGCTGGTGCAATTTCATCCAAACTTTGTGCATATCATCGGCTTTCTATGGTTCAATGAATTTTGTCAGCGTTATGGCTCTTTAATTTATTTTTATTTTTTAAAGTTTATTCGGACTACTTCTCATATACCACTAATGCAATTTCAATGAAACTTTACAGGATTGATTGGTAGGTCAAGCACGTGCGCATAATTATTACATGGGTTATCCGCTTGAATGATTTTAGCCTAGTTATGGCCCTTGAAATATTAAAGTTTGTCCGGACTACTCATCAAAAACCATTTATGCAATTTCAATGAAACTTTACATGATTAATCGGTAGGTCATGTACTTGTGCATAATACACAAGTTTTTTGCTTGAATGACTTTCGGCTGAGTTATTGCCCTTGAATAAAAAAGTTTGCTATGTTGCCAGCTACTCAGAAGTTTGTCTAGACTACTCCTCAGAAACTGCTAGTGCAATTTCATCAAAATTTTAGGGGAATGATCAATACCATGTCTAGTTGTGCATCTCATCAACATTTTTCGGTTCATTGATTTTTGTCAGAGTTTTTGCCCTTTTATGATTTTAATTTTGAAAATAGTCCCGACTACTCCTGTTTTACCACTGATGCAATTTCAATAAAACTTTACAGGATTGATCGATAGCTCAATTTCTTGTGCATACTGCACAAGGTCTTGAGGTTGAATAATTTTTTGCAAAGTTATGGCTATCATGAAGCGACATATGTGATCACGGATGGCCCTTGTTTATCAGTTCATACTAAGTTTAACCGTTGGATCATGTTCGTGTATAAGAAGCTTTAGTGCGCTCCGTAGACTGAAAACTTTGACTCGTTCATCTATGAAAGATGCTAGATTAAATGGTCTAGGCTTACTTTAATCACACCATATTACCGGCACCAGTGATGGCAGATCACTGCAGTGATGGCAGATAGCTGAAATTTACCGTTCGGTACAGGTAGGTGGTATTATTAGATTACACAAATACGGCCCATTTTTTTGCTATGAAACTATTGTCCATTGACTGGATATACTATTAGGTAATATTTGACTCGTTTTTTCCTGTTTTATGACTATTTTGAGCAGGTTAAAAGTGACAGCTTCGAAAAATCCGTGAAAATGTCTGTTTTTTGTTCAAAATATCTCAAGTTTTAACTAAATGGCAGGATTTCGTGTTATTAATATAGACGTTCATCCATTGGGGTCACGCAAGCCAAATATCTATCCCGTGAGTCTTTTCTTGAAAGTTTTTCAGACGTTCAATCTGGTCCGGTCGAATAAAAAATGCTGCCGTCGATGGCAGAAATACCATGAAAGTGGCTAACATTCTGACAGAACATAAAGGTCAATCTTTTATCAATTCCTCTATTCTTTGCGTCCTTTTAGTCGGAATTGAGACGTTAAACTATCATTTCTAATATTTTCCCAAGATAGAAAAGTTATTAATGCGGTGTGTGCACCGAAAAAGCTTTTTAGCAACACGCAGTAACAATACAAAATGTGATGATTCAGTACGACCAAATTGCACTACAAATAGAGCAATTAACATGAAGACATTCATTTTTCTATATTCATGCATGTGTGCTTGATATTTTGTGTCTGTCAGTTACATGCATACAATACCATATGTATCTTAAATTTAGCAGCGTATAATTCACTGCCTTTCAAGACATAACGTCATTTTATATTACAGCAAGTAACTTCAGTAAGTGGATATTCATTTGCTAGCATATGACATTCTTTTCTCGAGCTAATAATGTTCATCGCTTTATGACATACAAAGGCTGAAATTTACTTAGTTGGCGCTAATGCTGCAGATTATAAGTTACTAAATAAGTTACTCTGCATTATCAACAATGACACGAAATCATTTAAGATACTGCTTCGGAATCATGGTAAACGTGCTGATATTATTGTACATGTCAAGTTGACAATAAATAGATACTTATACAATAGAATCTATTTATTATAATCAATCTTCATTGTTCACCTGCTGGCATGCAACTTATTCTATCCATGCAACCGTGCCTTCTGACCTTCTGATTATGGTCTGCACTATTCGTATTTCAGTTAATACAGATTTCGAAATTATCCTTAAATAATAAGCAACTTGCCCCTCCCCAAATCCATGCTATTTTTTTGTGAACATTTTGAAAATGTATTGAGAAATATAAAATTATGAAGTAACCAAAAGGACGCAATTTACACATTATCAATGACACTTAGCTTGCAACACACGTAATTTACTAAAAAGAGGTCAAAATATGTAAAAATAACCCTTCCTGCGTTAGTAACGCAGAAGAATGTGGTTATACGAGGCCATCAATCGCACAAAACACGTAAATCATTATTTGAATCTTGTATCTTTTTACTTTTTCAAAGCACTTAGTACAATTTGTTTTTCAGCGTGATTATATTGAAATAGTTTGGCTTATCTGGAGGCATGATGCTTTATAATATTTACCTTTCTAAGGGTTTTGATAGTTATATGAAAAAATGTTACTGTTGTATAGGATAAATCAATATTTATATTGATAATCATAAATAAGTTCGTCTACAAAAGGACAAAATGTATAGATTTTCGTAATTTTTAACATTTTCAATGGCTCTGTTTTGTTACCAGGCTTTCAAATTTAGGGATTCACTATTGCAATAACAGTATTACTTTTCTCAATCTGTATTTATTTTGTTTTTCATGTAACATGTGTCCTAATATTTTTTCTTTGTTACCTTCATACGAAATATTTGTTTAGGAACTATTACTCATTCATTTTATGTATTTTCTTCCATGTATATGTTTTTATTGGTTTAACCATGATGAGCTTGTTATGAACGGTGACAGCTAATATGGCTAAATTTTCGATAAAATTCATCGCATAACACATATAAGATAATGTTGTTGTTGTTCTTGTGTGTGTGTGGTTTTTTTATTTGTTTTTTTTTTTTTTTTTTTTTTTGGGGGGGGGGGTTGCGTAGTAACATTCATCTTATCCATGCATTAAATAAACAAGTAAATATAAAACATAAATGATCTTAGACACGTTTATTGAAAATTGTTTATAATCATGATAATGAATTGAAAGTGATACTGAAATATCTCAGCCAATGTATAGTAATATAGTAAATACGTTTTAAAAATAATCTTCATATAAAAAGAAAAACGGAAAAATACATTTCTACAAACAGATCTTTACAATACTACATGTACATAGAATCCTTAATAAGCTTATAGTTTCATAAGATTTTAATAATTGATAAAAGAAGTGACATGAAATTGTAGTACAAAATAGGATTTCTGCCACTTTAAATGATAGTGAAGTATAACATTAAAACAAGGCATGTCGTTGTAATCAAATACCTACGAAGCCGGGCCCAGAAAAGGAAACATGACCTATACATTAAAACGATGGCATGGTTTATTATTTTTTTAAAAGTTGAAAGAATTAAGAAACATTTACAAAAGCTGCCTTATGTACTAAATAAGCTTAATTATTTCATTATTTTTCCCTGCATAAATGACATGACCAGATATACCAATCAATGAACTTTTTTTATCCAAACATCTCTTTAGAAATGAACGGATAACATTGCTCTGTCAATCTGTCGCCAATCTACGTTTACAAATCTAATTACCAGAGTTTTATGTAAAAAAAAACGTTACCAATAAAAATGTTGAATGACTAGAATGTTTGCATGTTATAAGGTGAACATAGACGAATATTATCAGTACTTAATGTGTTTCCTTCTTGCCCCACTTCTTTATCTAATAATATTGTATCAGTACACGAGCTAATCTTCACTCGATTTTATTCGCGTTGGTAGTGTTCTAAGCTTGACCATTTTCCTTTGATACATAACAAATAAAGTCAATAATCGACTTAATGGCAAGTGAGTTCATATTACATTCGTATATCCCTTTCTCGGAAAGAAACGCCAAGTCATATATGCCACGAAGGGTCTTGAAATCAGGCCCAGTCAGTACTCGATCACTCGTCTGATTCGGTAAAGCGTGCACATCTTTATGGTGGAATATCAGCAATACTGTGTTCTCCTTCTCTGAAATATAAATAGTAGTACTACTCTATATCACTTTCTCTCGACTAGCCTGGAAAAAGAAGTAAACCCGCATTTCTATAAAATGATTTATGAAATGGCAATCGCAACTGTTCCGGCCTTTGCCGTCAGTCTTCGAATACGGACCTATTCCTATATACATTCATTATACATTATCGAAGATTATAACGTCCGTTTTTTTTAACATTTAAAACCACGTGTTAGAACTTCTTTCAATCGGTATTAAGTCCGAGGCTATCATAGATAATAGCCTGGAATGTTCTGATTGATGACATGGTAAGCATACTGAACCTGCAATAAAAAGTCCCTGCTACGTCCTTTTTTTTCTGCGGATTTTTTTCCTATACAGTATGTCAACATATAAGGAGAAAATACGGGAATTTTAAAATGGTCCGGTTTTCAGAGGGTCCGGTTTTCAGAGTTTTTACTGTATATGTAAGATATGTTTTACATATACTCTATCACTGCCGTGACCATTGCGTGGCATAGTCTTGAACATGCAGACATGCAAGACGGCGGAGAAAACGGTTTCATACTTTGCCATACATTTTTTCGTCCGCCACTCTGGAGTAAAAATCATTTTCCCGAAATTCCATGTCACAGGGCGATATACGGTATTGAGTATTTAAACTAACCTATTATCATAACATTTGACTATACATAAAAGGTTATATTAAATTGTATGTTGGTTTAATAACTAGTATACGTACGGAGAACTCCCTGAATAGCATTTAAGGCGTCTGTTCCTAGCCTTGATGAACTCGTGCATAAGATAAGCAACGGCTGATCTGGTTGAATTTGGTAAGACGTTTCGCACGTGACCACATCCAAATCTTTGTTATCTTGTGCCAGATGCGTTTTTAACTTGCTGAGCAGATCTTCACGAATATGAGTTATCAGTTCACCACCTTTCTGGTGATATAACTGAACTGTGTGTAAAGAAAAGAGAATAGTACATCAATTTTGTTCATTAAATGAAAAAGAAAGCACATTGTCTTGCAATTCGTAAACAAGAGAGCAATAAAAGCCCGAGATTGCTCAGCTGAAATTATTTGCCTGAAAATGTCATAATTCTTTCATGAAGAAATAGGGAGTTTAATCACATCTGGCAAAAGGCACGTAACCCTTAGGCCATGCATGGTTAATGAGGGAGTCATGATTTATTTACTATAGTTGAGTGACTAATGCATTAGTTTGACTACATTTATAAACGTTTATATACGTTTTTGGAGATCTATCTAAGGGACACTCCTGTGAAGTTTGGCTAAAATGTACCAACTGGTTAAAAATAGAAATGTAAAGAACAAAAGGTGATACAAAACGGAAATCATGCTATCACCAAAGTTCTCTCCTGAGCATTATCAATCAGCTAAAATATCTTTGTTATGAAGACAATGTATGTTTTTTTAATATTAAACCGGAAACTATGCTATATAATCATCTTACAAGTCTCTAAAGATTGCACATTAATTTTAAGTCAAAATCTATAGGCTAGAGACTTACCTGGTAATGTTTCAATATGGGGCTGTTTACTTTCCAACTCGCATTTCAGCATTTCTACTTCCTCTTGCAAAACTTTAATCTTTGCATCTCTTTCTTGAAGTTCTTTGTCTAAAGCGGCTAATTTCTCCTCAAGCTCATCGTTTTTCTTCTTTAACTCTTTCATTTCATATCCAAGATCCACACTGCTTCCTGATTCGTCCCGTAATACGTCATGTGGAAATTCAGCAAGGTATGCATCAATGCTTAATTTATGTATACATCGTACTTGTTGCATAAGCGTTTTAAACTCTTTCCTTTCTCTAATCAGGTGCATAAATGTGCTTACGCCTTGCAATGATGAAAACTTCTGACCGTACAATGACCTCTGTATGAAAAAAAACAACAACAACATATGAGCCGCGTACCGACAAAACCAACATAATGGGTTTGCGACCAGCATGGATCCAGACCAGCCTGCGCATCCGCGCAGTCTGATCGGGATCCATGCTGTTCGCTTACAAACCCTATAACAAGTAGAGAAACTGACAGCTGGTCGGGATCCATGCTGGTCGCAAACCCATTATGTTGGTTTTGTCGTGACGCGGCTCAATTATTAAGTATGGAAATAATTTCAAATATATTGCATGTAAAAAGGAAAAAAACTTCTTATGTACCAAGACTTAATATCGTTCATCTTGCATAAATTTATTCACTGTAATGTAACTCGTAGCAAAACATGCATTCAAAATGTATTTGTCTATTTAATTACATGTACTATGGCGGCAATTTCAATATTAGAACAAGGCCTTTTAGTTATCCAAGCGAGGATGTCATTCGTAACACGTGTCTGATAATTGGACCTTTCCTAATAAATTTATCTTTCTTTTCCAAAATGCTAGCAATAATTTTCAAAATTCATAATTTTGCAGCTTTTCATGTAAGAAGATTCGAACCCCTTAAAGAAATGACTAAAGAACAGTAAACATTGTTTAATGCATAAAAGTGCTTTTGAACATATTTTTTTCGTATATTGTGAAATCGTTCTGTTGTTTAACTTAGTACATTTACAAACATTCTTGAATAAAAATGGTGCACACAGGTGTCCATTCGCAGGTGGCCATTGACAGAGAAGAAAATAAATAATAAATGGATAGTTTCACACGAGTAAGCGGTGATGTAATAAATTGTTACGTTTTATGAATTTGCGTGACTTAAATGAAGCCCAGAATCGAAACATTCTGTGACTGTCAAATTACCTCACATCCGCGAGTTAATAGCATTAGAATACGGTATCTTTATACGTAGAAACATGTGCAAGAATGGTGCCAAAGTACCTTTTTGTTCGACAGATAGAATAAGTATTATTTACAATTACCAGAAAGTGTATTTACCTCAATGTTCGCAAGTAACTTCTTAGTCAAATTAACAGCTTCCTGGAGTCCCTCTATATTATGAGAACCTAAAATAACAAACAATCATTCAAACAATTCATTCCATAAAATCTCAGAAAAAAATAAAATTATAACTTTTAGTACAGTTCAAATGAAACAACTATTGATTTCGCAAAAGAAACATGAATAAATCAAAGAAATGAAAACAAATCAAATACATTGTATCAACAAAATATTTCTGTGGTTTAAAAGAAAAGTATTTTTAACGAAAGTTCAATGAGTTACTGCTAGAAATAATATGTTTATCATTCTGTTCTGTTCTGTTCCTATAAGACCTCAGAAATGCTATCAGTTTTATTTTTCAAACAAATAAAAACCCAAAAAAACTTTTTAGTTTTGGTATTTTGTTACAGTTTAAAACATACTAATTTTCCAAAAATATGAACAATATTTTACTTTTTATGCTCTGTTAATCATGCATTGAAGACAAAGTACAACTTAGTTATATTTCGCTAACTTTATGACACATTAAAAATATGAATCTCTTAGGCTTAATGTGCCATTAAATGAAACTATGAGAAAGAGGGAGAATGGACCTATAAATGAAACTAACTTTGGGAAAGAAGCATAATGGGCCTTTAAATGAAACTATGAGAAAGAGGCATAATGCGCCTTTAAATGAAACTAACTATGTGAAAGAGGCATAATGGGCCTTTAAATGAAACTATGTGAAAGAGGCATAATGGGCCTTGAAATGAAACTATGTGAAAGAGGCATAATGGGCCTTGAAATGAAACCATATGAAAGAGGCATAATGGGCCTTGAAATGAAACCATATGAAAGAGGCATAATGGGCCTTGAAATGAAACTATGTGAAAGAGGCATTATGGACCTTTACACGAAACTAACAATGAGAAAGACATATACAGTACCTGTATCCAACTCTTCAAGCAGGTTAAGGAGAAGCTGAACTGTCACGTGAACATTGTCGACGGATGAGGCAAGACCAGAAAGAGCTGTGTCTAGTTGCATCAATGCTTTCTGTAAAAAAATTCACAATATACTTAATGACGCGTTAATTGTTTTCATTTGACTGTTTGAAATTATTTTTAACTGTATGTACATCTTCAAGCTGTTGTGATTATATTTAGCATCTTTATCTCTAAATCCCCCCCCCCTTTCTTTAAATGTGGTGTCTTCATAATGTACCAACGGTGACTTCATGCTTGATAAATGCTTCAGAAGAAAGATAGAAAAAAAGCTCTTAAATATCATCATTATCAAATATTTAATGCACAAAGTGTAACATTTATCATGTCATGAAAAAAATCAATTAAAAATAAATGTGAAAATATGTAGTATGCAGAACAAATAGAATAATGGACTAAAGAATGAAAGTTGTATTACGTCCTTACCTCACACTGGTCTGTAAATTTGTCTTTGATAGAAAAGAAAGATAGAAAGATGCCCATTTTGTACTTTGTACTTGAAGAAACCTTTATCTGCAAAACAGGCAATATATAAAAGTACTAACTATAACCAAAACAAATTTTAACATAATTATTATTATAATAGTAAAATGGACTTTTATTTGCAATACTAAAATATATTCACATGCATTTAAAGTGTTCTTTACAGTCTAAGTGCTGCAATCGAAACTACTATCTTAAAAATATCATAATCTTCAAGTGTTTTCAAAGAAGATAAACACGGACAGACGGACTGACAAACGAGCAGACAAGACAAGAAACATCAAAACCAAATGTCTAATTATATATAAGAACATGCATTCGGCTCATTGTCTTGCAAATAAAGTATATATATATATATATATATAATGCGCCTTAAAGCGACATTACTATCTAGCATTCGTTTACTTTATAAACTTATTTATGCAATGTATATAATTCGCGTAGAGTAATTGAAATCTGTTTCATTCACATACAAATGAGCCTGTGATATAAACTTTAGTAAAATAGCGCCCCGTGTCCACGTGTGGTCTGGATTTATAAATATTGGACATTGAGGAATATCACAATTACCTATTGCTGATAATTTTCTAATGATTCTGTATTTTTTTAGGGTATCAATGAATACTTTTGCGGGTTCTGCCAAACATATTTAGAATCGTTGGAAGCTCCCGCCCAACAGCCCTACATGCCCTATAGGTATATTCTCTTTATACAATCATGTAAACATTCCGTATTATTATTATTATATACATGTAAACAGTCTGCATGTACATTTTATTATTTTGATTATTCTGACCAGCACGAAAATATCTCAGAATAAAGCTTTGGCACGTTACATAATTCTGCTGCAACGGCCCAATGAAGATCAAGATCAGAAAATGTCTAATTTTTTTCACAAATCACGCATACAACACATGATGGTTCTTGTTTTAACTTGGCCAAATGTTATTAGATGCTAAATAAGAGCAGTGTCACTGGTGTTTGCATGATGCGTGATAGATAATCTTACATTATGAAAAACAATGTTTAACCCTAATTAAATTTCAGGCTTAAATTAATAAAAAATAAATATAGATTTATAAACATAAAATTATGTGTACAGTAGGTCAGACATATAAGTGAGAGTTTCAACAAAAAAGCAACCTTTAAACGTGTACTATGCTTAACAAATAAAACGAATTACTAACCTTGTAGTTTGATTGAAAATTACCTTTTTCCGGTAAAATTGCAAGACTACTTTCGATTTTGCTTTGGAAATAATAATATTCTAAAAATAGAAATATTACGGAGCACGTGACCTGATGAATAATTCAATCTATTTATAGTGGCAATCGCAACTTTTCGGCCCTTTCCGTAGTCTATTTATAGGTTTTACCGGAGCGTAGCAAGGTATGGACGTTTATTTCACTAACACATTTTTTTTCCACGAAGATCGAATCGGTTTAATCTCATTCTATGAATGAATGAATGAATGAATGAATGAACGAACGAATTTATTTATTTATTTGGCCTAATTAATTATTTTTTTTATTAATTATTCCGTATTTTATTCAAACATACAGTCACTGTGCGATGTTTAAGTGTATACACATGTACAATTTGCGCAATTGATAGTAAAATTGCTAAGTGTACATGAAATACATTTTTAATACAGTGATATTGTTACTTAAAAAGCTTTACCTTATAAATTGTTATTTTTATATATAACCTGAGATGCCAAACGAGGCTTCATTATATACTGCACGAACAACCGCTACTATACAGCCATAAAGCCAGTCAAAATCCATGCAACAGCAAACTTCCTATTTAATGGGGAAAAACAGGTTTCTTCATAAGTTGGCTGTGTATATAAAACTATTAACATGCAATGAGCAGTTACAAACATGCAGTATGGTAATGAAACTGCACTGGTTTTATCATACAGCAGGGCCGGTTCCAGAATTTTTTGGCGAGGGAGGGGAGCTAATGTTTAAAAGTCCAAACTCTCCCCTTTAATTAAGGAGGGTCCGGGGGTCCTCCCACAGGAAAAAAGGAAATCTACGTGTTAAATGGTGGCTCCTGGTGCATTTTCGGTGCACATTTTGAAATGGAAGTGTCTTCATATTTTTCACAAAGTTTCAGACTTTATTTAATTTGTGTTGCAAATTACATTTCATTTTTGCAAAAGTCGAAGAAAATCGAACGTAATGTTTACTGATTTGTTGGGTAAAACTATGATTTTATAAGAATTTTCCAGACAGGCAGATCCTTTTAAATGGTCCTTATTGCTAAAGAAAGGAAAAGCCATGGCATTAACCCTAAAAAAGGGATGCTTTAGAAAGGCGTTTTCATTAAAATTTACATCACTTACACTTCAGTATTTATGTAGATAAAGAGTTAAAACAAGCTGAAAATATATAAAAAAAAAAAATCATCCATCACATTCAAGGGGGCTATTTCTAATTTACTAGTACATATATTTTGATCTACTAATTTGACTCAGTATTATGTACACGCTTAATGTCTCTCTTTACTAAGAGTTATTTATGAAAAGTGAGTCGAAAACATTATGTTGAGAAATAGCCTAGAGGCGTATAGTGACAGGAAACTCAGCAGGAGTCCAGGCTCCAATATACAAGGATTTAGTGACTTAATTATATTTATCTTTAGCCAGTTTTTAGTCCCCTACCGGTTTAACCGGAGGGGACTTTAGGTTTACCCTCCGTCCGTCTGTCCGTCCGTCTGTCTGTCCGTCTGTCTGTCCGTCCGTCTGTCAGTCCGTCAGTCCGTCCGTCCACAAAACTGGATCCCGCGATAACGCAAAAAGTACTGAAAATATTTTTATGAAACTTGATATATGGATAGATGGCAGTATGGAGATTATGCACGTATTTTTTTTTTCTTCCTATGTTGAAAATTCTGGTTGCTATGGCAACAAATAGTCTGAAAATATGGCAAATTTAACACATAAACTGGATCCAGTGATAACTCAAAAAGTACTGAAAATATTTTTATGAAACTTGAAATATGGCTAGATGGCAGTCTGGAGATTATGCACATCTTTTTCTTTTCTTCCTATGTTGAAAATTCTGGTTGCTATGGCAACAAATAGCCTGAATTTTAAGATTTCTGATTTAAATTTTTCAGCTTTTTCACTATATGTTCTTTATTTCTTAAGGTGTTTACTTCAAACTTTAAATATAAGTTTCTGGTCATCAACCACATCATATGTGACAAGGTTTATAACTCTAGCACAATAATATCAGTATTACCTCCCTTGAACTTAGATTTTTTAGGGGAAAAAATGTTGTCTTTTTTAAATAACTTCTTTATTTCCTAATGTATCTACTTCAAACTTCATATATATATTTCTTATTATCACTCGACATTTTTGAGAAGGTTAAATATTCTAGCAAGACTATTTCCAGAATTATGTCCCCCTTGAACTTAGATTTTTTTCGAGAAACTGGTATTTTCACTCCAACTTCTTCATTCCTTATAGGATTTACTTTAAAATCCCACATCGTAATAATATGACAAGGTTGTATAAACATAATTTCCTTACTAAGCATGGAAACTTAACACATTACTGTGATATAGACAAACTTATTTTATTATGTTTTGTGGTCGATATTTTCAAATACAGACTTAATTTATTTCATCCTCAAATTCATTATAAATGGCAATACACAGGAGTGTATGACAATTAAAGAACTTTTTGAGGGACCGGTAGGGGACTACTGTATTGCCCGCAATACTATCAAATGCTTGTTGTTAATGTTGTACCCTCAAAATGCCACCGTTGAATGAAAACATATTTATGGCCAGGGTGTTTGGTGTGTGTGGGGGGGGGGGGGTCATCCCCTTAAGCCTCCCCCCGGTGGATCCGGGCCATTGTGTGTATTATGCACATTTGATAAAATAAAATAAAATCAATAAAACATTATTGATGTTTGAAATAATTTATTTACATATGTTTTCCTCACTTTATATCAAATAACTATTCTATAGTTGACAGTCGCCACACACCTTTTCTAGCTAGTGTCACTAAAAATTAATATCATATAATTGGGTATTTAAAGTTTTGTTTTTATATAAGGTATGTATAAAAGCTTTACATTATCTTATTTTCATCTTTATTTGCTTAACATTATTAATAGTGTAGCCACAGAAAAAATCTTTTAACGGTAGACCTGTAATTAAAATGCTACGATTTATCAAATGTATTGTGATATATTTTAATGTTTAAGCATTTACATATCAAACTGCGCATATATTTTTAAAGAAAACGAAAATGCATTTAATAAACATATAGTCCAATTCAAATATGGTTGTCTCCCTTTATCCGATGACATGTTTATAGTTTATATCTAACAATAGCATACTCATGTATCTGATAAGATAATGTAATGAAGGAATACGATTGTCGCAACTGTCTTATTGTTTCCTTGTTGATAAGTTAAACAGAATTTATTAAGTATCTGTTGTCAATTTGAACATTATTAATAAAACTAAGAACTCTCTTCAACATTTTTAGGAAACGTTATTATTGAACATGAACTTTCAGTGGATTTTCTTCCAAAATCTGTTGTATAAATTGCACCAGGCCTGTGACTGCATTCGTGTTTCTATCACAATTGTATATCCCTTTACCAGACTGAAAACCGATGTCAAAGATGCCGGCCAAGGATTTGAACTCCGGTTCGCCCAGCACCCGGTCACTACTCTGCTCAGGAAGTGCGTGCTCATCTTTGTAGTGAAGAACAATCAATGCGCTGTTTTGTGGCTCTATGTAAAGAAACAACAACATATAACTATAAAACTGTCTTCCAGATAGAACTATAATTTGCAATAACTTATATGGTAACTTACAAATTTTGATATTACAAAAAACGAATAAATCAATAAATACCGGTATAGTATCCAAAGAACATAACTTTCATTGTATCTTTATCAAACATTTTAAAAACTATACATTAAATACAAAAATATTATAATGAAGCTGTGCAACATCATATGAACATAAGAGATGATAACTGTTCAAATAACTTATAAAAAACTAAAACACATTACTTGTAATTCCCTCTATAGATTTAGCTGCGTCTGTTCCTATTCTAGATGCATTGATGCAAAGGACTAGAAGCGGCAAGGCCGGCAGAATATCAGTCGAGTTCTCGCATGTTATGAAGGCCAGCTTTTTAGCGCCAAACTTTCCTTTTGCGTTAAGTTGTGCCACGATTTCCTGTATGACAAACCCAACCTGGTCATTCCTCTTCTGACAGAAGAGCTGAACTAAAAATGATAATTATATACATATGATTTTATGCAATAGAGCATTATAAAACATATGAAGTAAATCTTTGATGTGATACAAAATTATGAAGAACACTGAATCTTTGATGTGATACAAAATTATGAAGAACACTGAACAATTGACTTTCAGAGAAAAACGTTATTTAATAATACTGAATAAGCAAGTAAAGTTACTTAATAAGTTCAGTTATTTTGCATTTATTTTTGTATTTTTTTTCTTTTATTTTTCTTTTTTTTAATTTGAAGGCTGTCAAGCGGTCCGTGACCAAATTTGTCGACCAGTTTGTTCCCTATAATTTTGTCGCGTCTACTTTGTAGCATGTTGTAGCTATTGTGTAGCAGGAGACACAACAATCATTAACGGCTAAAACGCCTTTTTTATTCGGCTATATGTCGCCGCTACTTTGAAGCAGGTGACACAAAAACTAAAAAGAGATTCCATTTTTCTTATGGATTACTTATATTTTTGCAGTTCTTATACAAATCAACTTTTATTTCCAAATATTTAATATTATTATCTCATTTGTTGTTACATGTTGTTTCAGTATATACTTTTGCAAAATCAATTAACTACCTACCTGGCGCTATTTGAACACTGTCTCGTTCCAGTTTGGTAATTTTGTTTTTCATGTCTTCTTTGTCTTTTAGTAATTGATCATTTTCCTCCCGTAACTTAGTCATAATTTCTTTACATTCCTCGATTATCTTTTTATTTGCTTCATTATCATCATTAATTTTTTGCAAATCCTTTGAAATCTTGTTCTTCTCTTCTTTCAGTTTTGCGATGTCATGTTCAGATTCCTTTTTCATTTTTTCCGTCTGGGCGCGATCATTATGTTGACCATTTGTTTTTTCGTCTGGCTTAGATACATCAGATAATTCAGGGTTTTTTCGTGACAAAAAAGCGTCAATTTTCAGCTCATTTAATCTCGCGACAGTTTTTGTTATAGGGTTAGCTTTAGTGGAGTTCGTTTTGATAATTCTAGCAAACTGACTTATTCCTTGTAATAAAGATGTCGTGTTGTGGCCAAACGCATTCTATAAAGAAAATTGAAAAGCTGATGACATTTCGTTTTTGTTTACATTAATGTACATGTACTTTAAATTTTAGAAATTTTATAACAAAAAATGCAATATATCAACCTTTATCCGTTAGTCCGTGTGTGTGTGCTTTTTTTTTTTTTTTTTTTTTTTTTTTTTTTTTTTGTTTGTTTGTTTTTTTTGAGTTTGTATAAAGCGTTACTTGAATAAAATAAACTGGTATGCCGTGCAAATTTTTTTACATGAAAAAAATGGTAATGAATGTAGCCATTCTGTTTTGAATGAGAATACCTGTATATTTGATAAGATTTTCTTTGTCAGCTCTATACTGGTTCCCAGCTTTTGCTTTGAATGCAAGTGATTTCCATCTGTGAATTATCAAAAATCGTATAAAAACATTAGCTTTAAGTTTCATTTCAAAGATAAAGTTTTTTCATCTTGTACATGTTGATAACAACTGTAAAACGCTCTTTAAACTGCACGCAGCTTGTACATGTATATTCAAAATAAGAGCCTCTCTGTATACCATGACATAAACAAGAAAACTAAGGGAAATTCTGTGGTCACAGAGTTAAAGATTGGCTGTTTGAGAAAATGATCTGATACTTTATATTCCAATTTTGATTTTCATTGAAATAACTTAAGATAATCAACCAATGCGGTTCATTTAGTCCAGAATTAACAATTACGTTAAAACAAAGCAGTATTTAACACTTAAAATGCAATGTAAATATCTAACATTTGTTTACCATTACTCTCTGTGTTAAGTTCGTTTAGTTGGTGTAGAAGTTGGGAAAATGTATCTTGCAGCGCATCGACAGAAAGAACGTGACCAAGCAACAATTCATCTAGTTGACATAATTGACTCTGAAAGAAAAGAGCCTCCGGCATTATTATTATTATTATTTTATTATCATTATTATTATTATTATTATTTGTTGCAATATTTCTCGGAATAGAGAACTTTTATAACATGTTTAAATTTGTCAATGGCAAATACGACAAAATACAATATTAATCGTGCCATTGATTTATATGAACAAAATTGGTAGATGATTAACCACCATGATTTATATATGACTGAAAATCAAATGACCTGGCACAACGTTCTGAACAATCAAATAGTTTGTCAACGTTTTAATGTTTTGGCTCAAACAATAAAAAAACCATCCGCAAACAATATTCTTTAAGGGCAATTTATAGTAGAACGTCTCCAAATTACTGCTCTTCTCCAACATATGAAATTTGATTTTCTTGTCTACAAAATATTAAGTGAGCTCAATTGAGTAAATGTAAATCTATATTACAATTTATTCATTTATTTACTTAATTACTTACTACATGTCACTTTTTTGCAAACTGACGTGATATTTCGCAGCTAACTTACCTGACATGCCGTGAGAAACGTTTGATCGATTTTTGCAAAGTGTGCTCCCATTTTTGACGTTTTTCGATAATGGGTATTTGTGAAACGATAATCGGCTTCTGTAATAGTGAAAATAACTAATGTTTAGTAAGCATGCAGGGGCTGATTTGTACCATGAGCAGAATAACTATAGCACAACCCGCGGTTACAATATGTCTTTTTCGTGCGTTGGCCTTTTCTTACTTTCGTTTTATTGTTGTTTAGTTTCTTTTTTGGCCACCCACATTCATGTATTATAAATTGCTATATAATATCAGTTGAATTAAATATTAACTGCTTTTACTTATCATATATTATACGTGGAAAGATATATTGATAGTAAAAGCAAACTGAAAACATCTTTAAATAAACAAATATATATGTAACATTAAATTATACTTAGTAGATCGATCAATATTAATCACGTGCAACTATTTTATTATATTAATCCAAATATATTATTATTTTTATGAAATAAGATGTACTTACCAAAAAATTTCAAATATGTTATTCAACGAAATATCGAATTTCTACTTTCGGTTTTGAAATGGAATCCACCGTCTCGAAGGTTTTCCATAAAACCATGTGTATAAATAGTAATGATAAACATTTACAAGCGATAACAGTTGTTTTCGGTAAATTTTATGACTCTTTCTGTGGGGAATAACCCTTAATCAGTAGGATCCCACTTTACATCATGTACATTCACATGTATACACACGCGTGTGAGGTTAACCTAAGGTCATTAAGCTATAACCGTATCATATTCCATTTCCATTGTTTGTATTTGTGTTTGTGTATACTACGGTAAGGGGACGCAACTATAATAGTGGCGGTGAGTCGCACGCACGAAGCGTAGACCTTTGCCAGTCGTCTCTCGTCGGCGGTTGTACGGAAAATGAAAGTGTAAAATGGTGCATATTTGGGGCGTTTTTAAAAACGGGGGATGTTTTTCACAATAAAAGACCCTATGTTAATGTATGTACATTTATAATCAGTAACGACTGAAATAGGTAGAAATTTAAAGATTGATCTAACAAAAACATTTTGTAAGTATTTTTTTTTTAAAAAAAACCGCACTTTAATTATTTAGTCACTTCTAGAAAATACAAAAATACATCGATGCAAGATAACTATTTAAATTGAATGATGCGATAATCGGGAGTCTGTCTAGGCCTCAACAGACGGTATGATTTTGAAGTACAACACCAATTAAAACTAAGATGTACAGGCAAATCTTAAAGCAGCACGCCTCCATATTCATGCTAATTTTCATGAACATTTTAAAAATGTATTTGAATGTGTAATATTGTAAAGTAACCAAAAGGAAGCAATTTAAACATTATAAATGGCATTTAAACTCCATTTAAACTCCACGTAAATTACCAAAACGTGATCAAAATATGCATAAAACCCTTTACTGCGTTAGTAACGCAGTACAAATTTAGTTGTAAATACTGGAAAAACAGTCGTTAATCGCACATAATATGTCAAATATTACTTAAATCTTGATTTGTTTACTTTTCCTTACATCTTAGTACAATTTTATTAAGTTTGATTTTATTGAAATATTTTGCCTCATCTGGAGGCATGTAGTTTTAATGTGTGAAGGCTACTAATGAAATTCCAGAACAATTAGGGCTAAAAGGTAAACATAGAAGTAAGATGGGGATAAAAATTATATTGAAAAACACTTCAGGAGACCCAAAGTTGTGTTATGTTCGAATCCCAAATTGTTCCGATAATGATTATGTCACGGTATTGAACTGTTCTCTAATCAAGGGAGGTAGTTTGTAGGCGTCCGGATAGATCAGTCAGCAGAACTGCGGTACGGTATTCCGAGGGTCCCAGTTTTGAGTCTCGGTCAGGCTGCGCATTAAAAAAAATTAACATTTTTTTTAAAAAATGGAGGTGTTTCAATCATTTCTCATGGAGAAAAAAAATATTAGTGAGTAAAGTATGTAAGGGATCAATTGGGAGGGAACTTTTTTTAGGGAGACCTGAGATGATTCCTACAATGCAGAATTACCGTCTGAATCCAAGTGTTGTATTGCTTTGAAAATTGTACTAGTGTTGTACGATGAAATCCTACCGTCTGTTGCGGCCTTAAGATACTGCTATAAAATACATTTTCATAAATGAATTGCCATTGGCTCGCACGCAGTAACTTTTAAGTGACATTATGCTCATATTTTCATAGTCAAGTTGAGCTGAATTGATATTTATTTCAAAATCTGCCTAAAATATAGAAAGATTGCCCCACTCTGTTTATTAACTGAGCGTTAGAGATAAATTCTAATAGATATTTACAGAAATTTTATTTGGATCTGCACATGTGCATTATTTATTGTTTATGGGAAGTAAATTATTAAATGAAAAGGAATTATGGAAAAATATAGCTTATTTTGATATTCAACTGTTCACTCACTATATACCCTTGGATGGGCAAAATGTCACTTTAAATACAAGCTTTTCTTTATTTTCTTGGCAGGATACTTTCTTGTTTGTCCAGACTGATAAAACTTTTTTCTAAGTAGAAAACAAAATGATTTTTAAAACAAAGCAAAATGAAAGTGTCTGTGTATTTGATACAGTTCGTAAATGATTGACTAATGTGTGCCCTATTAACACGTATTCACATTTTAAGTAAATTCTCAAATATTGTAATGACCTGTCATTTATTTACAAAAATCCTCTTCCCAGAATCATACAGTGAAGTACCCACATCCCAAAATTTACAAACGACCAAATTAATTTCCATATTTAAAGCAGCACAAGTTACAAAAAAGTCAAACTTGAGCAAAAAATGATTATGTGAGTTAATAGTTCAAAGAAATGTTTACACATTCAAAATACAGGTGAAATATTGAAATGTTACATAATTTATTATTATATCAGTAAACGTTTATCTTGTAAAAATATAGAATGAGAAATGTCTGCATACACGAACCAGTGTATTTTATTACTTTTATATATATTTTTCCTTCAATAAATGCCTTGTGTTAAATTAAATCACTAAATTCGTAGATTTTGCAACAGTCGGAAGCTTATTTGAACAGTTTTTTAAGAATTCATAAAAATAAAATAAATCTGGAGGCGTGCTTCCATCATTGACAAATCATTCAAATGGTACACTATTCTAGTCATTAACTAACATAATTTTTATATGATTTGCCTTCGAATAAACGTAACGATACTTTCAACTGCTTTTGTATTAAAGTCACACATGTATATGCCCCTGTCCGACTTGAACGCCATGTCATATATCCCGCCAGAGCCTCTCATCTCTTTCCCCGTTAGTTCACTGGCTTGGTTAGGTAAGGCATGCTCGTCCTTGTGGTGAAAAACTACTACCGCCGTATTTGACGTTACTGAAATGATAATAACGTACATGTTCATACATATCACTAAATAGGGATCAAACTTAGACATGAATGGAATATACATTCTTATATAATCAGTGACCTCACAAAAACAGAAACCCGACCACACGTTGTTATGTCAATATTCAAATCATTGACCGGTTCTTTAAAGTATGATC